GGAAAAATGGAGTGCATGGCTTGGAAGCTTCAAGGATGGTTCTGTGATTTTTTGTGCACTAGGGAGTGAATGGAAATTAACTCATGGTCAGTTCAAAGAATTGTTGTTGGGTCTTGCACTTACAGGGCTTCCATTTTTGGTTGTTCTGAAAATTCCTATTGGGTTTGAGACAATGGAAGATGCTCTCCCAGAAGGGTTTAAGGAAAGGGTTGAAGGGAGAGGAATTGTCCACAGTGGATGGATACAACAACAGTTGATTTTGGAACACCCATCAGTGGGTTGCTTCATAACACACTGTGGTGCTGGGTCATTGACTGAGGCACTGGTAAATAAGTGTCAAATGGTGTTACTGCCTCAAGTAGATGGCGATCATATCATTAATGCAAGGATGATGGGTGGAAACTTGAAGGTTGGGGTTGAAGTGGAGAAGGGTGAAGAAGATGGTTGGTTCACAAAGGAGAGTGTAAGCAAAGCAGTGAAAATGGTGATGGATGAGGAGAATGAAGTTGGCAGAGAAGTGAGGGAAAATCATGCAAAATTGAAGAATTTCTTGGTAAGCCATGATTTAGAAACGATCTGTGTTGATAACTTTTGTCAGAAGCTTCAAGATTTACTCGTGTGATTAAATTGGCCTTTTTTTACATAATGTTATCTTTTTCTCTAGGCAAGTGGACGGAGTCATATAAATGGGATATAAGTTAATTCCAGTTTTTATTAAATCAAACAAAAACTTTAAATAATTGTTATATGATTGAAATAATTGAGTACAACTGATTAATACAAAAATTTGCATTAAGTAAACTGTTGAATTGAATTTTCGTGATAATAGATTTGCTATCTATTATCTATATACATATTAATTTCATTTTAAATTGAAATAATAAACAATCATTTCATATGAATTTTTTAATAATGAATTTATAAGAATCCTAAATAATCAATAAATTCTTAATTGATTAAAATTTTTGTATTAGACACAATTTTTTATATATATCAGTAATTGATTTGAATAAAATTAGAATGAAATCACTTTCCAAGTAAATCTATTCCTATAGTCATGAAGTTATATTTTTCTAAATCCAAACTTTAAATCATAATTAAATCAATACTGAAGAATATATATAAATATAGTAATAGAGTTACAAAAGTGTTAAACAGCTATCAATGATAAAAAAATAAGTAACACATAACTAAAGAAATCCTAAATGTTCAATAAGGAGAATTCAAATCCAACTAGCTTATGTTCTCTAACCTTTATTTCTAAAAGTATACTCTTTTTTTTATATATTTTTCTTTTTCTTTTCAGTTTTTCTATTTATATCTAAGAAACTTCGTAACCTTATAATCTATCCGCTCAACACTTATTAATTTAATCAATGAAATGATGTTTCTTCACCCTGAAGGTTAGGGTTGAAGTGGACAAGGGTGAAGAAGATGGTTGGTTCACAATGGAGAGTGTAGTAAGCAAAACAATGAAAATTGTGATGGATTAAGAGAATGAAGTTGACAAAGAGAAGTGAGGGAAAATCATGTAAAATTGAGGAATTTTTGGTAAGCTATGATTTAGAATCCATCTGTGTTGATACATTTGTTAAAAGCTTCAAGATTTACTCAAGTGATTAAAAATTATTTTTTTACATAAGAGTCTTAAAAAAAAAAACCCAATTTTACGTGATAGGGTCGAATTCCAAAAAAAAAATTATGAAAATTGGTCAAATGGTGTTTAGATACACAAAATTCGATTTAGATGGTCAAAGCTAAAAATTATGTTATATAATACCATTTTAGTTGTAGGTTTTTTCTTTCTTTTTTTAAGTTCATATATAAATACTTAAAAACATCATTTCTAAAGCAAAGTGAGACCAGGAAGGAGCGAAACATTAAAAAAATGAGAAAGAATCAATACTTCGCTAAATTAGAAGGGAATTACACTTTGTTTTACCATATTCTAAACCAAGCTAACAAATCTTCAACCCACACAAACTAATGATTCAAGATTTTATTCATAGTTGTAACTATTAAGAACATAATAATATATAAACCCTAAACATAATAATATATAAACACTTGAATGTACATAGAAGACAAAAATATGGGATTTAAATTCCATGAGACCATAATGAGTATACTTGTTAAAGACCTAATTAGTCTCACATCTCTTAAGATATTGAGTATTGGAGAGAGGAGTAACCACTATATATATATAACATCTTTTGTAGTCTTTTTAAACACGGTTTGCATAAAATCAAACTTTGTTTGTGAAACTTAATTAACTTGTATTTCGAATTTGTTTATCTTTAAGTGTCGTTTAAGAGTTTTTTTTTCTTATTCTCCTATATTAGAAACTTTTCTTATAGGACCTAGTATCAAGTTTCTTAAAAAGCTTGAGGAATAATTTTATTTTTAAAATTAATAATTAAATTGAAATTAATTATTTTATAAATAATATATTTTAAAAAATCAAATAGTCATATTTTAAAAAAATTATAATAAACTTAGGTGACTCGATTTTAAGAAAAAAAAAATTGTACTACGTAACACAATTAAAAAAAAAAAGTTACAACTAAAATCAACATGATCTTAACTTTGACTACCCTAATTTTTTTTTTCAAATTTGATCATATTTTGTAATAAAATTATTTTTTTTACGTCGTTACATAAACAAAAAAATAAACTGATTAAATTCAATGGTTTAAGAAACTATTCCTTTGGAATTTTAAGATTATCTCTAAGGTATATTATCTTTAAATCACTTCACCTTTTATATAAATAGGTCGATCAAGACTAAGATGGTAAAATAGGTCAGTCCGACGGGTCGATCCGCTAGCTTGTTATAAATATTACAAGTAGATTAGTATTTTTAACTCCCAGTCCACTCTGGCAAGTCCGCAAACTCGTTGGGCTAGCCTACGGGATGGAACGGGTTAACCCACGACACGCCTAATTAATAAAAAAAGTATTTTTTATTGTAATACAATTAGTCATAAAGACAATATATAAAGTGAAAATTTATAAAAAAAGAATTAAAAAAGTTTCACGCTTACTTATTATAAGAAATATTCTCTTTAATTATTCAAATATAAACTTCTCTTTCCTCTTGTCTTTGCACATCATCTCCTCTTTATTCATCATGAACATTGATTGTTCTTATCCTCATTACTTATTTGAATTAAAGGTGTGAGAATTACTCAAGAAAAGAATAACGTGAAGTTTTATTAAATAAAAAAGATATAATATAACTTTTATTTTAGGTATTTGAATTTTTTAATATAAAAATATAAATTTTATAAATTTCAACGTTATTTATATATATTTATTATTATATAAATTTTATTATTATCTTAAATTATAATTTCTTAAAATAATATATTATGTATATTATTAACTTAAAAAAAAATATATATATATATATATATATTGAATTATTAAAAAATAAATGATAATTTTATTATTAAAAATTTTAATTAAAAATAAATAAAATAATTTTTAAAAAATTATAATGCACCAACCCACCAATAAAAAACAGATCAAAATCTATATCCTATCATAATTATTATATAGAGTCAACTCATCTCGCTCCAATTTTTTAGGAATCAAATCGGAATTTTGTGATATCATAATATCATGTTAAAAAAAAACACAAGGAATCCAGCGGGTAGACCAATGTTAAAGATATTTTTTAATGGTGAAAAACACAAATTAAAAAATAAATTACTTGTAACGCATTTTGATGCCACCACCAGCTTCCATTACAAAAGAAAAGGGTATTATACATTTGGTGCAGTTTAAAAACTAATTGGCCGGCTGGAAAGGTGATCATACTCAAGTGGTATATATATATTTAAAAAAAAAAACAAAAAAAAAATTGATGTGAACGTGGACAGGTTGGAACTATGTTGGCACCTCAAGATTTATTTACGGTACGGGCACATCAAAATTGGAACATACAAATATATAAAAAAGAAAAAAATTATTTCTATTTTTTTTAAGATTGTTATAAATGAGAAATGAGTGGTGAAAAGAATGAAATATATATTTTTATTGATATAACATTATTTTGTTAGACTTAATATTAATATGTTGTTATGATATTAATATATTAACAAAGAAAATTCCTTTTTCCTGATTAATTGAAATCTATATAATTTTCTTTTAAAATTTAGTATAATATGATATGATAACAAAATATATACAAATTATTATAATTAAATTAATTAGCATTAGGTAACAGATATATTTATATAATATGATTTCTTTCATTTAAAATATAAAGTACGACAACTTCATCTCCGTTATAATAATATGATTAATCTTAATTATCATATACGAGATATTATATATTTTAAAATTTTAATATATTACGATTTTATTTTTAAAAAATATATTAAAAAAATATTATATTAAATTCCACTTTTAAAAGATATAATACTAAAGACAGAGAATCCGATTCTCTAATCTAAATATCTTACTCTAATGGATGCCTAACTATGAATTATTATGTTAGCGAATCGGTTTGAAGAGTAGCCATGTGTCTAAAGACATGTCCCTAAAAATTAGATTAATTATGGTTAAGATGCTCTGTGTTGGGTGAATGGACATTACTCTTGGGAGAAGGTGAGACTAGTGGTTCCGTGACTCCCACACCTTTAACACTTTAGTGCATTCTTAAAGTGGACTTTCGGGCTACTCATACATTGCCCTAAATTTATTAATAAAACAAAATTATTGAAAGACTTGGAGGAGTGTGAGTAGTCAAGAGGCTGAACCCATGCTATGACGATGATTAATAGATTATTAATATTATCCCAATTTTCCCCACTCAATAAAGTAACGCCATGATTTCACTTTACTTTTTGATATGCTTTGTATGAAAGAAAGAGATCTATATATTATTAACTCCTATTGCTTCCTTCTTCATAACACTGAGAGCAGTTCTTCCGCTGCCTTTACTTTATACATGAAGGAATAACCACTACCAGTTTTATAGTTCATCCTTCACGATGATAGCAAACAAATTAGGGTTGAGAAAGTTTTGGGACAGGTTGGGTCGTCGATCATCTTCCACTTCCAACTCATCCCCATCACCACCCTCTTCCAATCTCAATCCCTCTAATTCCAACTCACCTGCATCATCATCTTCCAATCTGAACCCTTTGAGCACCACAAATGTAGCATCCACTTCTTCTTCCGACACCATCCAAAACCAAAACTATAGATACGATGTGTTTATCAGTTTCAGAGGTTCTGACACCCGCAACTCTTTTGTTGATCATCTCTACTCTCATCTCATCCGAAAAGGCATTTTCGTCTTTAAAGATGACAAAAAGCTCCACAAAGGAGAATCCATTTCATCACAGCTTCTACGAGCAATTCAAGATTCTCGAGTTTCTATCATCGTCTTTTCTCAAAATTATGCATCCTCGACATGGTGTCTGGACGAAATGGCCGCTGTAGCTGATTGCAAACAACAATCTAACCAAACTGTTTTTCCTGTTTTTTATGATGTTGATCCATCTCATGTAAGGAATCAGAATGGGACATATGAGGATGCTTTTATTTTACACAAAACCAAATTTAAAGAAGATCCGCACAAGGTTCGTCGATGGAAGAATGCTATGAAGGATTTGGCCAATACAGCTGGTTGGGATGTCTCGAACAAGTATGTACTTGTTTTGCTGGCTTACATTCCGATTTTGAATTGAGTTTATTTAAAATATATTAAATTTTTTTCATCAAAATTTTGAAGAGATTTTTTTATCTTTATTTTGGTAGCTAATAATTTAGTTATGTTATTGTTTTTCCCTTCCAGGCCAGAATATGGAGAGATTGAACGTATTGTACATGCTGTAATAAAAACATTGGGCCATCAATTCTCTGGGTTTGTGGATGATCTTATTGGAATGCAACCACGTGTTCAAGCATTAGAAGATAATTTAAGATTAAATTCAAACAGTGATAATATTCAAGTTTTAGGAATTTGGGGAATGAGTGGAATAGGAAAGACGACTCACGCTACTGTTTTATATGATAAAATCTCTCACAGGTTTGATGCTTCTTGTTTTATTGAAAATGTGAGCAAACTTTATAAAGATGGTGGCAATACTGCTGTACAGAAACAAATTATTCATCAAACTTTAGATGAAAAAAATCTGGATGTATACAGTCCTTTTGAAATAGCAGGGATTGTAAGAAATAGGCTCCACAACATAAAGGTTCTTGTAGTTCTTGACAATGTTGATCAATTAGAGGAACTACAGGAATTGGCAATAAATCCTAAATTGCTTTTCAAAGGAAGTAGAATGATTATTATCACAAGGGATGAGCATATTCTGAAAGTGTATGGTGCTCATGTAATACACAAGGTTTCACTTTTGAATGATCACGATGCTCGTAAATTGTTTTATACAAAAGCCTTCAAAAGTGAAGAGCAAAGCAGTAGTTGTGTGGAGTTGATTCCTGAGGTACTCAAATATGCCCAATGTCTTCCATTGGCAATTAGAGTTATGGGTTCTTTCTTGTGCACTCGAGAGGCTGATGAATGGAGGGATATCTTGAATAGATTAGAGAATAGTCCAGATAATAAAATTATGAACGTACTTCAAATAAGTGTTGATGGATTAGAATACGAGGAAAAAGAAATATTTTTACACGTTGCTTGTTTTTTTAAAGGGGAGAGGTTGGATTATGTTAAGCGAATTCTAGACTGCTGTGGATTATACCCTCTCATTGGAGTTAAAAGACTGATTGAAAAATCACTCATCACTATCAGAGATCAAGAAATTCTTATGCATGACATGTTACAAAATTTGGGAAAGAAAATGGTTCGCGACCGATCTCCCGAAGAACCGGGATCACGGAGTAGAATATGGCTTTATAAAGACTTCTTTCACGTTTTGACCACAGAAACGGTAACAAGTTACATTTTCAAACTTCCTCAGTCATCATAAATGCTTTTTAATTTTAGAGAAATAATGTTTTCACAACCATTATTAGAGATAATTAACTTCGTCAGATGTTTATAATCTACTTTTTAGAGATATTCTACTTTTTAGAAGAAGTGTGCTGGTTTCCTTTATTCACATATGTTTATAATCTTCATGTTTCAGGGTACAGAAAATGTGAAAGCCATAGTTCTGAGTCAAAAAAGAAAAAACTCGGAATACAATGTTAATGGATTGTCAAAAATGAAGAGGCTTACATTACTCATATTATATCACAGTAAATTTTCTGGAAACCTCGATTATCTTTCTGACAGGTTGCGATATCTTTTGTGGCATGACTATCCTTTTAGTTCTCTGCCCCCTTATTTTACAGCCTCTAATCTGGTGGAATTGAATATGCCTAATAGTCGCATCAAATATTTATGGGAAGGTAGAAAGGTACCATAATTTCATTAATTTTCATTTTTTTGTGTTTAAAGAAATTATGAAAAGAGTTATTAATTTTTTAAAAGAAGTGACGATATATTGTTTATTCTCTTTTCACAGAATTGTCCCCATTTAAAAAGGATAGATTTAAGCAATTCCATCTACCTGATTGAGACTCCAGATTTTTCTGCAATGATAAAACTTGAAAGACTAGATCTTTCTGGATGTACAAGTTTATCACATATCCACTCATCAATTGGACTTCTTAAAAATCTTGCTTTCTTGAATTTACGAAATTGTTGCAGTCTAGTTATCGTCACTTTTCTCTGCGTCACTAACATGGATTCTCTAAGAGTTCTACATCTCTCGGGTTGTACTAAACTTGAAAGCACGCCAGATTTTACTAGGATAACAAATCTTGAGTATCTTGACATGGATGAATGTACCAGTGTAACATCTATCCATGAATCTATTGGAGTCCTTTCAAACCTCACATTCTTGAGTTTGAGAAACTGCACAAATCTTGTCAGTATACCAAATAATATTAATTCCATGGTATCTCTTCAAATTCTACATTTATGCCACTGTTTGAAACTTACAAACCTACCCCAATCCCATTTGGAATCTTTAGTTTTTCTGGACCTAGGGTTTTGCAATCTGCAAGAAGTACCTGATGCCATTCGAGAATTATGGTGTTTGGAAAGACTGAATCTACAGGGAAACAATTTTGTTTCAATACCTTCTTCCTTAGGAGGGCTTCATTGTCTAGCATATTTAAACTTGTCTCATTGTCATGAGCTTGAAGCTTTGCCTTGCCTTCCAACTGGAGGAGCTGCATCAGGGGGGAAGTATTTTAAAACAGTATCTGGATCTCGTGATCATAGATCAGGCTTATATCTTTTTGATTGTCCCAAAATGGCTCATATATTGTCTAAACCTTGGGATTGGAGTTTGGATCTTGCATGGCTTTCCAGACTAATTCAGGTTTACCCTCTTACAATTATGGTTGTTGTTTTCATTGGATACATATATATTTGCCTAATTTATTAGGAGGCGCGATTATTGGTAAAACAATACCTTCTATTCAGTATCCATTATTGTCTTACAAATTATAATACACTTTTTATTGTGGTGTCATTAGGAACCCTATCATTTTCGATGTGGCTTTGACATTGTTATTCCTTGGGGTTCTGAAATTCCATGGTGGTTCAATGAAAGATTTAGAGAGGATTCGATTGTAAGGATAATGGAATTCAATTTGGATGAAAACTGGATCGGCTTTGCCTTTTGTGTAACATTTGAGCTCAATAACGGTCCGGTGGTTGCTAGTTCATCATCGTCTCGGTTTTATCTTTCTTTTGAAAGTGAACATACAGAAGAATGCTTTGATATGTCACTTTATTTGAAGGTAAATGAGACTAATGGATCAAAACATATTTGGATCATTTATATTTCTCGAGAACACTGTCATTTTGTGAAAACAGGAGCACATATCACGTTTAAAGCCCAACCAAGTGTTAAGATCAATGCATGGGGGATGAGGAGTATATTCTTGCAAGATGTATATGATTTTAAAACAATGCAACAAGGACAACCTCTTCCATTCCATCCTAATGGTGCAAACCATGTTGACTTTGATTTTGTAGAAAAAGGCAACACCAACCCTGGACCAATATTTCAACTTCCTTACAATTGGTTACTTACTGAGGAAGACGAAGTAGAGAAAAATAATGCAGAAGTAAAAGAGAACCATTTGTTATATGCGGGACTTTGATGCACTAGCATATGTGAGGCTCGCAAATATCTCTTGGAATCAAGGTAATAATCTTTTCTAAATCAATGCTTGCTAATTAATTATTGATTTAATACGTTTTTATTTATTAATAGCTATTCAAATTATTAGTACAACATGTATTATTGGTGTGATGCATTAGGGTAAACTAAATCTAACTCAAAATTAATTTGAAATTTGATTAGAGTAAATCAGTTCTATAAACTTGAAACATCCTTAATTGAGTTGTAAATTAGGTTTGGTGAAAATCTTTCTTTTAAAATTAATTTTGATGATTGGGCTTGATTTGATTATTAATTTATTATAAAATTATACACTTTATAATCTTTTAATATTATATATGTAAATTGTCTTTATTATTTGAGAGTTAATATATAAATTCTTGATAAATTTTTCATTTATTTAATAAATCTTTGATTATTCAATTGACCTGCACTAATTTGTTTAAGATTCTAAAATTATATATTAGGATTGATGATTTTATTAATATATATCATACATCTAATAACATCATAGGCAATAAAAAAATTTCACACTAATTAATTAATGAGTAAGCATAATGATCTATTTATGTTTCTTTTAAATTTGAATTTAACATTGATATATATAAGAATGTAGGAGACGATTTAATTGTAATATTAATTCTGATATTTATGGTAAAAGTCAAAGATGTGGAAGGCGAGGACAAAGAAAGAAAATGAAGAAGAAAAATAAAATAAAACAAAATAAAGAATATAGAAGGATCTAAGCAAACTTTACTTGATGAAAAATAAAAAAAATTAAATAAAAAATACTAATAATAATATAATGAGTGAAATTCTTTTACGAAATTTTGTTTTTTTTTCTTCTTAATTTTAAATCATTTAATTTTAAGTTTACTTCTAGAGTTTATTTAAAAAAAAATCCAAATTGGTAATCTTATTTTAATTTATTTGTAAGACTATCAAATGAATCTTTCAATTTTTTTTTTTTAAATTATCCTTTATTTTGTTTCACCAGTTAAGTTAAGATAGATAATCAAAACAAGTTGTCCAACTTAACTTAACTTGAGTTAACTAAAAGAAATTAATGATCTAATATGTCTTTTATTTTAAAATGGATTACAGTTTTTGTTTTAATTTGATTCAATTTTAAGCCAATAAACTAATAAGACATTTTTGTCCCAATTAAATATTAAAAAAATATCTATATAAAAATAATTCATCCAAAAAATTAATCTAAAAAATAAAAATAAATTTATAAAATTTAAGTTGTGTTAATCAAAGCAATTTTTATAATTTAATATTTAAATTATAAGAGAATGAATTTATTTATTATAAATATAAGAGTTAGAAATATATTTTTAGTTTTATCAATAATTTTTTTTAATCTCATGTTTTAAAATAATAATTCATTAGATAATAAAAAATCAAATGATAAAACATAGAATAAATATTGAAGAAGGTTTTAACTTTCTTTTTATCTTTATTATTATTTTCAATATTATTTTTATTTTAAAAAATAATTATAATTTTATTGCATGAGCATATTATAATTATTTTTATGTCTGTCTCTCCTAATATCATATAGATCATGGTTAAAATTGTTAGAATTTGATTTATTATCAATTATTTAGCTTAACCTAATTTATTATTTTGATATCCTTTAGATAATGATTAAAATTTTAAAATTTTTTCCCTTTCTTAAAATTGTTGCTTATTTATACAAAATGTTTAATTTATTTTTTCTCTTCTTTTTGTATTTTAATTTTTAATTATTAAAATTTAATTAATTAATATTTTAAAACTAATACAACATCTCAAATAAGATGTTAACATTAAAGATGCAAAATTACATTTTTTTTAATTGAAATATAAAAGTCGTATTAATTTGACTTTAGCTTATAAATTTCAACTATAATTTGACCACGTTAATATTTACAAGATAATTTTTTATTTATTATGCGATTCAAAATAAACAAATTGTTATTAATTTATTATAAGATATGATTTATTATTTAAATTTTATAAATTATAGCCCATTATTTTATCGTTAAAGAGGGACACTAGTTGATAATTGTGATAAAATTTTATTTTATATCCATTTATTAATTACTTTTTCTTATATCATGTCATGTATTTTCTTTTATTTTAATCTAAAAATAAGTTTACTTTTTATAAAAAATTTGAAGAATGACAAATCATATTAGTACTCAAATTTTGTAATAATTGCAATGTTTCATGCCGCGCAACACCTACTAAAAGTGTGCCTTGTGACCAGCTTTTAAATAGAAGAATCAGGCGAAAAAATGGGCACTATTCAATTATGGAAGGAGGAGAAAAATCCTAAAAAAGCTATTGGTAACATGAGACATTCTAAAATAGTTTAAACCAAAAGATTCTCAACTTTGATGTAACTCATTTTTATATATGGGGTTAGATGTAATGACCTCCCAAGTGGCAGATCTTCTTCGGAGTTCGAGTGGCTATGTCTCCCCAAAATTTTATAACTTACATGTACTTTATGATTTTGATCTCAAATTTAATCATCATTTAATATATTTATTACTATATTTATAATTTTATCCTCTCATCACTCTTAATTTTTATATAATTTATGATTTTGTCCTCTCAAACTTAATGATCATTTAATATATTTATTTATATATTTACAATTTTATCCTCTTGTCCTTTCATCTTCTTTCACCTTTTTATATTTATTTATTATTTATTAATGTTGAAAGTCCCACATCGCCTACCTCATATCATTTGGTATGGTTTAAATACATGTTAGGCTACTCCACATATTGCCAATTGGTTTTATATTGGAACCTTAACAATTAATAATATATTATTTGGTTCCTTCAAAATCAATGGTCAAGATTCGCCACTGCTGATATACTTATAACTTGTTTATTCAAAATGTTAATCTCTATTTTGTTTTTGAGTTTCTATATGCTTATTGATGCATGCTTTTGTTGGTTCTTTATGGCGTAAAACATTTTTGAAGCTATGAACCTAAGATTAAACTGTTCAAAGTATCGTGTTAGACATAATGTGCCTATTATGAGTTATCTTGAAACACTTGTCCTTAAAGCAAACTATTTGTTAAAATTATTAAAGGATTAATTAATTTTTACTTATAGTTTTGGATTATGTTTCTAAAAAATTAGAACTAAGTTAATTTTAGTATTAATGTTGAAGAGAGCTGTTTGTTTAAACAATTGTTTGTAACAATATTCATGAAATCCAACTCGGAGCATAATTTTCTTTATAGCTTATAAATTTGTGCATTTAAAGTTTCTAACTTGATTTAATATAGATTAGAGTTAAACTACAAAACTATTTTCACTCAAACATTTAGAGTGTCAAAATATGTTTAATTCAATGGGTCAATCGAAAGGTTAGGCTAGACAAAAAAACTTATGACTTAAATAGAATTAGACAAAATTTGATCCGACTTTTTAGGTCAGACCTAAATGGGCTTAGGCTAGATTAACCCATAGGTTTATAGACTGATCTGTTTTATAAAATAATAATTATTTTACCAATAAAATAAAAGTAGTATTATTTTATTAGAAAATATATGTATAATAAATTAATTTAATAATATATATATATATATATATATATATATATAATATTGCACCGATAATATATCTCGTTTGTCCGAATATAAGTATGCACCGTGGTTGCGGTCTAGGCCGATCCTCCACATCGGAAAAACTGTTTAAAGGTATATTGGCTGGAAAACTCGGATAGTTAAGTCTTCCCGATTGGGTTGCTTGAAGCATAATAGGTCAGTCCTGATCACCTTTGTCAGGTTCAAATCCTGATGATTTAGTGTGAAATAATAAAGTCACGTACTTTGTTTGTATAACTGTTTATTCTCTCTGAATTCATATTTTCTGAAAACTAAACTTTTCTAATAGAAATTTTTTATTAATTAAACCTTGCCTAAAGAATCTTTGAGGGTAGATGAGTGTTGGTAAGCCGGTTTATGTGGTAAGACCAGTAAGTGACAATAAAACCTGTGGTGTTCCCGAGCATCTTAGACCTTGGCCTTAGGATGACGAAATTAATAAAACTTTTATCTAAAGGAAAATTTTTTTTTGAAAAAAATAAGAATACAGAAGAAGAAACCAGTAACATGAACATAGTACACCATGAACTAATTATTCTCGAAATAGAAAATCAACTTAATAAATGGACCTTTCCAAAACTCGAAATATCAACTATTTATAAAACAAATTGGAAAGATATGTTTAAATATGAATATATAGTAAAAACAATAGACAAAGAAATAGAACTACAATCAAGTCATGAAAAAATATCATTAATAACCAAAACTCTAATAGTTGAACACATAAAAGAATATAGATATCTTCATATAAGATTAATACAAATGGCGATAAAACCTCTCTTCAGAAAAGGAATAGATACACCCATGTTTGTTGCCTTAAAAGATAATAGATTAGTAAAACTCGAAAATCAAATATTAGCAATATTTAAAACAAATCTTCATAATGGATCAGTATATATAAATAATTACCCAAATTATTCAATAGCCCTTAAAAGTCTTCATAATACGAAAAATAATATATTATTAGATATTAAAATCCTCGAAAATGTATGAAATCCAAAATCAATACCTATAATAATAATATACAGAATTTATTATAAAATAATGAAAACCCAATTGGCACCGGGAGCCTTATTAATGTCCCCAAAAGATGAAACAACTATGCTGTTTGTAAATCTAGAAAAAGTTAATGCGGTAATACCAAAAAATTTAAAACATACTAAAATATGTAGTAGTCTTAGCTGGAGACTAGAAGACTTATTAGAACCAGAACCCGTAGAAGTTGAAAATATAACTGAATATAAATCAGGAACAGTAGAAATATCCTTTGCCCCAATAAGAAGAGTAAATTCATTAAGAGGAACATCCAGTAGAAATACTTTTGTAATAACCAGAAAATCAATAGACCAATCTAGTTTAAT